ATGTAAAATCATTTTTTGAAATTTACAAACAACAATTTATTAACAAAAAATAGACAAAGACGTTATTACGTTAGAATAACGTATTTGTTTTTTACAAGAAGTTTTCCTTTTTTAGAAAACCCATAGCAGCGGCGATCCCTTGTTATAATGCTACAATTTAAAAAAACTTACTTATTGATTGGTTTTATTGATAACATTTTGTATAGATTTATAACAATGTCTTAATTAGTTTTTACCTAGCCCAGTCGAATACATGAAAATAATAGCCAATCTCTTTCCTTTTAAAGTATGTTTAGTTTAGGTTATTTGTCTATTATGAATTAAAAACTAAAGTCAAAGAATTGTTATTTGATTGTAATTTTACACTATAACATTTATGTTTAAAAAAACATAAATGAAAGATCCCTTAAAACTAATACCGAATTTACTTAATGGGTATTATTCACTGATTTTATAAAATACCTACATTTCCTTTATTATCCCGTTTATCCTTAGTATTTTCCCATGTGTTGGAAAAATTCCGATGAAAAACAAAAAATTACCATCCTAGTCCGATTTATCTTCAGAAAAAGTGCTATCATTGTTTTCTGAGAAAAATTGGTGGTGGAAAAGGTGTCTGCAAAAAAAAAAACCGTAATATATTATTCATTTATTCGAACATTTTCCCGTCTTTTCAGTTTGTTGAGATAAATCCTGGGAAAATCGAAAAATGACCTACCTTAATTACCACACCAAGAAAATTTCGTTTTAGAAAATGGTCTACAGTTTATATATCGGAGTAATCCTAAACTAAGATGTATTAATTTCCCGGCTCGCGGTAACGCCAGCAGTTTCTGTATTAGCTGTCTATCGTGATAGATGGTGGAGTACTAATGAGGGCTAAAACAAATGCGGTAAACTTCTACTTATTTACTAGAATTTTTAGTTTCCAAGTGTAAAAGTTTTCATAGAATTTTATAGACAACCAAGAATAAAACTTAAGAAAAACTGGAAAATTTAAGAAAATACAGCTTTCATTATATTCAATTTTGTTTATTTTCTTTTGTAATTCTGTGAATAATATTCGTAGAGATTTGAAATTCGGACAGGAAACTTATATTTGTCATTTCTAGACGGTGTACAATTTTCAAACAATTTAAAGTAAAAAATCAAAAAAATGTAAAATGTCTATAGAACTTAAATTTCTTATTTTTTCTTCTTCATTTTTTATTCTTTATAAAATATTTTAAATTTATACATATTTCCAATCGGTAAACATAAGAACAAAAATGAAAATAATAGAATCATTAGGTTCATTAGGTTTTCATTGGTTTTGAGGGCTTTCCCGTTCTTTTTACATTTTTTCTCAATCTTGTCAGTCAATTATTACGAAAACTACAAAGAATATTAAAAAACTATTTCTTTATAAACCAAAANTTTGACTTCGAGTAGCAAACGAACAAAATGTAAAACTGTGCATGGAGGTAAAACATGATTTTAGGTACCAGGAGCGCATGTTGAACGACGTCGATGCGCCACCGCACACCGCCACCTTCGTTGTATTTTCGGCCCGGTGTGCGACAACGACAGCAGTTTCTGTATTAGTTGCCTATCGGGATAGATGGCGGAGAGCTAAAATCGAAAATAATTTAACCAATGCGGTAAACTTGTTTTTATTTCCTATGGTTTTTTTTCGGTCCTATCCAATTATTAAGAAAGCTTGTTGAAAAATAAGAACAGAACTATCTTTAAAAACTATTTATATCTAAAGTTCATTACAAAAGATCTCTAGTTCTTTTCCGATCAATGTATTTTTGTTTTTTTTTGAAAACGTGAATCGTGAAAAAGACGGAAATACTTCGCACGTTGGTGGTCCACTGTTTTAGGTTTGACGTTGGGAAAGTAAAAGGGAATTTTATGTATTGTAGAGATGGTAACTAAATGTTACAAGAAGGTCAATTCTTGAACTTTCAAATCTTGCGGGCTAGAAAATATAGAATGCAAAAAAAGATCAATCAAATTTAAAGTTTACAATTGATAATTAATTTTAGCATAATAAAAAGATTAACTATATAGGTACCCTATATCTTAAGGTTAAAAATGTTAAAATACTTACTTTTTTTGAAATATTTCTGCAGTCCACACTCGGTACACGAAAATTCTAAAATATAAAGAAAATATCGATATATTTCAAGGGAATTGATTTTATGTTGAATAAAATAATACGAATTATATGACCGCATTCGGTTTTTCGATGAAGTACGAGAACGATGTATTTTTCTTTTATCTCCCATTTTATTATTAAGTTTCGTAATTTTTAAATTAAAAATTATAAGACTAATGCAAATAGCTGATAAAGTAGTTTTTTAAAAATAGTAATAAGTAACAAAAAAAAAAAAAAAATGTTTGTTATTGTATTCTATATTTATACGGTATTACTTGGTTATCGTCACAATAATAATTAAATTGATAAGGGCATGCTCCACTCAGCGTTGATAACCGTATTAAACAATATCCACAGATAACAAACCTTGAACACAGTTAATATAAAAATCAATGAGTTATCACTATATATGATATAATCATTAGTTAGTAAATTTTATAATAATTTATCAATAATTTTTTGGTGCGATAAATGTATATAAATTGTAATAAATTGTCAATACAAACTTTACGATGTGACAGTGAATTTTCACATCCCTTATAAATATAAAACGAATGGATTGCATAAAAAAAAAAAAAATAAAAAATACGCGGCCAATGTGAGGGGTTTAAACTCCATGAACCCCCCTGTGGGTACGTCTATGCGCACAACAATAATATACTAATATATTATGTAATAATGTTTTCAAATTTTGGCACCATACAAGTACTTGAAACGTGAGGCCGTGGTGTAATCGACTTCCCGCACCGCGGTTTCTACGATACTGTTTATATTACAGGCTTAATCGCATTAACTTATCGATTTCTCATTAACCGTACAATGTAAATTGGGGTTTAAACGGGCGTAATTATATTGAGTACCAAACGAATTTATCGTTTTTTTTTTTTTTTTTTTTTTTTTTTTTTTAAATCGGTTAATTGAGTCCCTAATATAAAATCAAAGCAGTACATTTGTGAATAGAAGTACAAAATTATCCGGGATTAACCGAGACTTATCGGTTTGCCAATTATTACGTCACGTACTATTGCGTGATCTTATCGTATTTGAGAAATGTATCGGTTACAGCTACTTTATCGACGACTACGCGAAATACAATTTTCGACTTTGGACTAATTTTAGAAACTTTAAGTATTGTGAACAGTGGCACAATTAAGTGGGAGCCAGGGAGCTCGGTCTCCCTTGGATTTTCTTAAACCCACTCAATCTTTTTTTTTTAATAGCACCCCTTGGCTGTACCCCTGTGTATGAAGGTGGGACACAAGCTTCTCCAAGGTTTATGTACTGAGTGCGCCACTGATTGTGAATAATGCGATCTAAGGCCTAACCACGGACTAAGATATTATAATGGACACGGAATCACGGCACGGTAGGCGGATGACGGAAGACAGGCCGAAAATGTTTCCTCTTTTATCAACAATACTGTAGACCAACGGGTTTTAGCGCTACCCGTGGTTTTATTTGGAATCACATTTGTATTCATTATGTATTCAGCTCAATCCTGCTTGAACGAGATTAATGGACATACCTATATTTCTCTAGTCGAACTTTACAAATTGAATGTCGAGTCGTTTACTGATCGAAGACATGCTTCTAATTTAAATTGTCTAAAATCTAATCTAAAACTTCTAAATGGGCGCATATAGACTGTTCAGATTTACTTTATCAAATAACTTTGAATGTGCCTCCTCGAGCGACACGTAGTTTTGCTCTGTTTCATATTCGTTCATCCACAACCAATTATGGTCGAAATAAGCCTTTGCACCGTTGTTTGTCCCTTGCCAATACGGACACGGTGTTCTCCTAATTTATGTATGTATAATTATTTTTGCGTTATATTATCATTCTTAGGTATATTTTATTATATCGCCGCTATTAATTTTAACGTGTAATTTGGGCCAATGCTCGTTTGTAATTAAAATAAATAAATAAATAATACGTACATTATTTACAGGTCATGCGAATAACGTTATGTTTCCGTCTCTTTCCGTTTGTTTAACAAATCACACTAAAAACCACCGAACACCTATAAGGTACCGCGGTCGAATTTATATCGAACGTTTTCGTGCGGTTTATGTTCGGTTTGCGTATCACATCCCTCACACATCCCGTATCCGCGAATTTCAGAGTATCCATATAATAGTAAAGTGTTGTTGCCCGTCATTACCATATGGAATAATAGTAGACGGCGTAATATGGTAGAAATGGGCAAAGGACGCTAAATAATTTAAAGGCAAATATCGACAATTATCGAGGCAAATTATAATAATAATATAAATATAAAAAAGACCGACATACGTCACACCATTACTAACGATAAAACAATTCTAGGCAGCGTTCTGTTGATAGCGTCGTTTTATCAACGAAATATCATATATGTGTCATATTATGGTCAAATACACGTGCATTATGTATTTTCTTTAATAATATTTGATTAATTAATATTGTACCTATTTACCCGGTTTTCCTACGTTTTTCCCATTTGTTGGAAACAATCCTCTGAAAATCAAAAAATGACCTCCCGAAAGTACCGTTCCAGTCAGATTTCATACCAGAAAAAGTCTTTTAATAGCGAATCGGAGTAAAATTTCTGGTTGAAAAGTTAATGACATAAGATATTATTAACTCTGATTTTGATAATAATATTTACCGCATATATTTAATTTATCATTAAATTATTTTTCTATAGAAACGTTGACAATATCGAACAAATATTGATTAGATTGATTTAAACATTTATTTTAATTTTATCAATTATTATTTCCGTCACATATGAACTATGTCAAAATAAATATTATTGTAATTTTTTTTGTTTTTACATATTATTATTCGGTTAAAACAAACTGCGACCAACACTGTCATGACGTCTCTTTTGCAACAATTTCCTTCGCCGGCCAAATCGAATGTTACAAGAGTGCCGTTACCGTCGACCAAATCAAATTCTTCGAGAGTATCGTTAACATCGGCCAATAATTCGTTAAAAATATCCAAAACATCATCGACCAATAGCCTTAAACAAGCACCATCATCAGTCAATAGTCCAAAAGAAAAAACGTCGTCGGCACTAAGATTTGAGAGGTCGTCTGACAGTATGTTAAAGAACCCATTCGGTTGTTCTTACACCACAGCTTGCACCAAGCACAAAATACGCCCATCACCGGGCGTGAGAATAAATTCTAAAAACTATTTTGTTGAGGTGTGGGGCGAACGTATGAAAGTTCAAGATTGGCTAGCTGTGATGGAAACGCTAAGCAATGATATCGATACTCATCACGTGTGCATCAAAAATCGACAGTATCAAGAAAAAAATTCGATGAAAAACTATCAAACGTTATCTGAAGTTATGAAAATACCTAAGTGAGTGTAATTGTTACTTTATCGGGACGTAGTTTTACATGAATCCTGTTAGAAAAATACTATCGTAAAACTGTGTTTTCTTCTGTATGCACAGAACAAGCCAAAAACAAGCACTTTTGAAGTGTACACATGAAATCTCTGTATCGTAACATAAATTTCCAAACTCCACAAAAAAATAAACAAGTGTCGAACCCTAGTGAAATAACCGGTCATTGTTGTTTTTCAGGACCGTAGTGGCATCATGCACGTTGTTCGTGGTCCGCCTGATAGCGAATTCCGTCTACGAAGTATTGGTCAACTCGCACGTGCTAGTCTGTTTGGAACTGTGCAACGTCCTGTTTGACGATCAGGCGCTTGGAGTACTTTTTTCTGGCATAAAAGCCAGCCATACGCTACAGCACCTTTCACTGTCCCACTGCCAGATCGGAGACGCGGCGTGCCTCAACTTGTGCCGGGTGCTCCGGGACAAACCCAACATCCGGTCTATAGACCTGTCGGGGTGTTCTCTGAGTTCAGTGGCCGCCACGAACGGACTGGTGCAAATTGTCAAAAAGCAACAGGTCAGACGGAACGAGGAATGCTGGACGCACTCGCTCCGGTACAGATCCGCCAACCCGGACATCATGCACGGGTTACGGAGGCTAACGCTGAACGACAACACCGGGCTTGGGGACGACGGCGTGATCGACCTGTTCGAAGTGCTCAAGGACGATCTGTTCATCAAGGCGATAGATCTGCAAAACTGTGGACTAACCGACCGCAGCGGCCGGGTGGCACTTTCGACGTTATTCATCAACGACACGCTGGTCGTGTTGGACGTCCGGAACAACGGCGTCATATCGGCTGCGGTACTGAAATTGATCATGACCCGGTTGCATCAGAACAACGACAGCAATCCCGAGACGGAAGAATGGAAATGGACAAAACTCTGGCGGGAAAATATGCAGGTCGAATCGTCCAGCGTACTCAGTGTTATATCCAAAAAAAATTCGAAATGATAATAACGACTTTTTCTTCTATTGTCTGCGTTTACGAAGAAGTGAAAATAATAATTCTAATGAATTTTTTTTAAGTATTTTGATTTAATAACGTTATACATTGTGCAACATTATTGTAATTATATTAACGAACTTTGTTTTGAAGTTTTATTACAAACGATTTCGCTAAAAGATGCTGTGGTACATTAATAAAAAATAAGACCATAATATTTTATTAATACATTTTGTACATATTCCTGTTTTTTTTTCTCAGTTTTGCCTGGTTTTTTCCATGTATTGAGAAAACTTTTGGGTAATTGATAAACGACTTCACCAAAGTACCACTGTAGTCAGATTTTGTTCAAAGAAAGTACTTATATTATAAATCGGAGCAATAATAATGGTAGAAAAGTGGTTCATAGATAAAAAAAAAAATAGAAAAAATAAAATAAACCTTATTGTTAAACTTTAACTTACTTTTTGTAAACCTAAAAGCAAACATACTTTGTACAATACGTGTGTTACCCATGTAAGGCAGGTACATAAAATGCACTTATGATAATCTAATTTATATTTGTACGCAATGATAAATCTGTACAAATGAATATATCGACACTAAGCAAGTTTTGTTCAACATGTTTCGAACAATTTGAAATAGAATACTGTAAATATGTTTACAACCTTAAAAAAAAAATTAAAATTTTTTATGTAACATAAAATGTTAATGAAAATAAATCGTGGAATTTATTTTCATTCATACAAAACGAAAAATATTGAAAATTTTAAATAGTCACGGAATAATTTGAAAATAAAAAGTCGGCCAGAATGTTCATATTAAGTAATGTAAAAGTATAAATGAAGTATTGAATTGTTGTGAATAAATTATTTATAATAACTTTTTTTATTATATTATCAGAGATAACAAACAAGCATTATCATCAGTATCGACATTGCAGTATCATCGGTCTGATTGTGAAAAACACACGTGACATTAAATATTACTTGTATTGTAAATAATATTATGTTTTTTTCGATATTTTCAAAAAATCGTGTTTAAATAAAATACAAAAATTACAAATGCTCCTGTACTCTTTGTCTCTAACCCGGCCTTTTGCCAAAGACCTAGACATCAAAGCAGTGAGTGGAGTAGGCGCTGTTTTCTATACGTAAACGTTTTTATATTTATATTAGAAAACCACGAAAAACCGCTGAGAAAAGGCTTGCGTACCCCGTCACTTCGTGGAAATCTTAACTAAAATAGAAAAACGTTTGATATGACCCGGGTATAGTTTTCGATATGTCTCTATCGTTTAAATCATTAAACGATTAAACAATAATTAAACAATGCTCATTAAACTCGTTACTTGAATGTTCAAAACAAAGCTCCGTCTATGCTCGGTTTTATAAATCGAAGTCGTAAATGTTTTGATACGTATTATATATATATATATATATGTGTATTAAAAGCACTTTATTGATCACATGTACGGTCAATTTTGGATTAAAAATCTACGGTTCGATCACCTAGATGTGTTTGTCCGATAGGGTTTATCGTCCTATCGGCCACTTTCAAGCTTAAATTTCCCGGTCCCCCAGTCATAGCACCAAACAGTACTCAATACCTTTTACGTACCATCGCAGTCTACCAGTTATAATCGAAATTCCCCTACGAACAGAATTACGGAATTAGTGAGTTGATTTCATACGGATTTATTTTCACGCACAACTGTCGATAACATGTTTAAATAATTTGATAAACCGGTAGGTATATAGGACTTCTGACCGGAAGTCCGGAACCCGCGGCGGACGTATCCGTATAATATATTTGCATTGTAATTAGTTTAATTGGCTAATATTTTCATTTGGGCAGTTGTACGCTGCCCCCGTCATATTGTCTCCGTTTAAATGCGCACCACGCCCGTCCAAATGACCGAATAAATAATTTTTGTACCGTATCAGAACGTATTCAATTGAATCGCGACATCTACCGGCGGCGCTCCGGAAAGCGAAACCCGGCGGTCGTCGACGCCGAAACGATACGGAACGAAACGACGTTTGCGCAAATGTCATCGTGTAAACGCAAATGGACAGCGGTCCGTCGCCACTGTGCGGGCGAACGATAACATCGAGGCGAAAAACGAATATCGCGCGGGACGTTCGACGCGGTTCGTCGATCGGCACACGACCGCAATGACAACGACGGACGGCGGCGAGCAAACAGCGAAGAATAACAGCAGGCACGCGGCGGGCCCGCGTTCGGACGTCATTTCGGTGTCCGCCGCATTGCGCACGCACTTGGACGCCGGGGCGGCGTTGTTTCTGCGCGCGCCGTTTGTTCGGGCGCGTACTGTTATTATTGTTATTGTTGTTATCGTCGTTGTTGTTGTCGTTAACGCCGTCGCCCGACGGCGGGCGAGAGAAAGCGAAAAAACACGCGCCGAATTGAACGGTACGGAAAGCGCGCGGATTGCATTCGCGATAGCCGACGAAAACGGCCGTTCGGGGGCGGTATTCGCGCGCCTGATTGCTATGCCGACGGTGAGAACGTTATCGACAGTATCGTGAACTATTAGTTGATATTTATAGGTGGACACCGCCGTGCTCGGTGTGCCTGGATTAAAACGATATTCCGAGATATTACGGGTCGGACGTAACGAAAAAAAAAAAAATGGACTCACGTTGGGAACGGGGTGCGGCCACTGTTGCAGGCGGAAATCGGGGAGAGTGGGATGCGTAGAGATATTCGATCTGTATCCGTACGCAACGATAAACCATTTCCAACGCAGAAAGATTCGGTAATGCATATTTCGGTAAGGCTATAATTTATACGGTCCGTGTAAAAATTCGATCTTAAAAAACGATTACGAAAAAAAAAAAAAAAAAATAAAAAACTAATGCATTAAACTCAAATTTGTCGTTTAGACCACTAAGTACGACTTGTACTGTACCTTGTCTTGAATTTTCAAGCGTTTATCTTAAGTAATATCGTTATTTTAATACTCACCAAATAAAAATACAAAAAACGCGACAATTTAAAATACCTATAAAGAGCACAAAAGTAGCTAGAATGTTTTAAACGTTTCACCAAGTCTACCAAAGGCCGATAATTTTTAACCGAATATTAACAAAAAACTCAAATGCCGTACACTTTGCCGTATTTCCTACGTTTCTTCCTAGATTTTCGTAATTGTTAGGAAAACTCTACGAAAAATCAAACTACGACATTCTTACATACAAAGAAGATAAAAATTCGAAAAAATCGTAAAAACATTTCTGTTAGAAAAATCTTAAAAACTTTAAATAATAAAATCGTCGCGCTGTTATTTGAAAAATTGTATTTTTTGGTTTTTCCAATTATTTTGAAAAATAATTTAGATATCAAAAACAACTCTCTTTGCCAGTGAATATGTATTAAAAGAAACAAAATTGGTTGTCATTTTTCGATTGACGCAATATTTCTGATAGTAAGCATAATATTATGCAGTTTGCAAAAATTGAAAACAATAAAATCGGTAACGCCACGGGGTGCTGTAAATATGAATATCAACTGTTTTGCCTATAATTTTCTTTGCGGTTTTTTCCAACTATTTTGAAAACCTTTTGGAAAATTAAAAACTGTCCACTCTTATACACCAACCATGGACAATATTTCCTTCCAGAAAAGGTGTTTTACTCTTTACATTAGACCAAGACTTCTAGTAAAAAAATTGTTCACAGGGAAAAAATAAACATCATTTTAAAACCAATAGATTTCTCGCTTCGCTCAGAATCTATAACTCAACATCATGGTATAAACCATACAAATCAGTTTCAACCACGAACATTAAGCAGCAACCAAGACGGGAAAAAAAAACGAAAATTCAGAATTATTTTAGAATTAAAAAATAATAATAACAATAATAATAAACACAATTAGAAGTAATATTAATTATCATTCTGTAAATTGTACATTATTTTTACGTTTATTTCCGGTTTTTCTAATTATTAAGAAAACCACACGGAATATTAAAAAACGCCTTTCTTATTAACAAACTAGATTCAAAATTCAACAAACGAAGCCCTTCGCGTATTTCGATCAGATCTATATTTATTGTAAATGAAACCTAAACCGTATAAATACTGCGAGCGGATAAGAGCAAATTGTATACGAACTGTTGCGTGGAGGTAACGCGTGATTTTGGGTACCAGGAGTGCATACGGTACGACGTATTTGACACCGTCCGATGTACCGCTGCCCGCGATGGTTGCCGTCGGTGGCGCGGAGGGCAGTTTCTGCACGGTAAAACCGCGGATTTGTATTTTCTTAAAAATTTGAAAATATTATACTTGCTAGCCATGCATGCGTACTACTCTACAAATATTATTAAAATATGCAAAAATATGTTTTTCTACCAATATATTCTCGGGACATCAAAATATGTGCTTATATGCAAAACGAATTTAATAAATAATAGTGAACGAAATCAAAAACATTATTGAAATAATAATAAAGTGAAAGTCTTTTCTTTTTCTTAGATCCTTGTTTTGGCATTTTACTTGTAAATCAAAGGACAACAGCCGCAAAAAAAAAAAAAAAAAACGACTTGTTAATTTGAATAGACTTCAAATACAAAACGAAAACTTGATTAGGCATTGGAAACTATCGTTCGACGTAATCTAACTTGGTAATAAATTATTATAAATAGAAAAAACTTATCGCACCTGTTGAAACGTACACAATTCTTGTTATTATTTCGATTCGTACGATAAAATATGAAAAAATGTAATGTATTATGCTTACATAATACGTTTTTTCTGATCTTTTCAAATTTTTAAAAAAAAACTGGTTTAATTATCGAAAAAAGACCACTTTATTGCACCAAAATTATCAAAAATTGAACAAATGTCCAGTCTTTACATTTCTATCTGATAACAAAAAATAATACCGATATTACAATTTGTATTAAACTACTAATGAAATAAAATAGGACATAAAAAACATTGTCCTACATCATACAATTCGGAAGTCGGTAGCCCTAAAA